AAAATCTAGGTGATGCGAGCACAGTTGGGGTTAGATATTCAAAACAGATACGTAAATGTCCATATCACTTGCATTGTTGAGGCACAAATTTATCACAATGTCCTCTAATAGACTTCAGGGTCAAGAAGAACATGGGTAGGTTCAGTACTATTTGGTCTCAACCACGACTGAAAGATTCGACTAATCAGCGGATTCATAGTCTGAGAAGGAGTGATACCTTACCCTCTCTCTGATAAACAAAATGACCAGGTGACATCTGGAGAGTGCATAGACTTGTCACTTATTTTTAGTAAGGACTATTGTCACCTGTCTTTTCAAGGTGTGACTGTTGCCTGAAATTAAATGTTAATTACGTTTGTGCTTTATGAGAACATTTTGTTTACCAATACGTTAGTCATCCCTTTAACGGGATTTCAAATAGATTTACCTAATGTAACTCCTTCACTTATGATCATATTTGAATTTCTGAACTGACTGAAATAAAATGGATGAATAAATGAATGAATGAATGAATGAATGAATGAATGAATGAATGAATGAATGAATGAATGAATGAATGAATGAAGCATTTCTTTATTAAGTCAGGCATATAAAATGCACCAGAAAATGTCAATTATGAGTGCTTCCATTGAGTCAATTCATAAAGAAGGCTTATCCAGAACCTCGTATAAGCAAGTCGCTCTCTCAAACCTGGAGTGATGAAACCACGCAAAAGCAGATCGGCGCACCAGGTGAGGGTTGCGAGTTTTTTAAATACTTTCTCTTCATAATTTAACCTAGTGCGTTTGACACAATGTGAAGAAGGACTGGGAGAAGACATTTAGGCAAAAAAACCGACTTTCAAAAAAATTGAGGGTTACGAGGTTTCATCACTCCACCATCGATATATGTTATATTATATTGCATTATATTATATTATAATAAATAATATAATATTACATTATAATATACATTATATAATATATATAGGTGTGTGTGTGTGCTTGTGTGTGAGAGTGTGTGTATACATGCTGTCTGTCCTAGTAGTTCTTCCTTCTACGATAAAGTCTCGGCTTTTATTTTAATTAGAGGAATTCTGTTTCTTCGGGTCTTCTTCTGTGTGCTCGCTTACTGTGTCCAACTCATCCCGGGTTTGTCGAAAGAGGGTCGAAACAGCCTTCCTCCGGAAATGATATGATCAAGTTAAGTCAGCTGATAAAATGTTATCCGTCCTTTTTTTTCGTGTATCAATCTCTCGATTGTCAAAAAACAAAACAAACAAACAGCAAAAACAACAGATCTTTGAAACCCCACAGTGTGGAGACGTGTATTCGGAGCAACTGGTAAACATGTAAATTTTCAATGTTATGTAAGGTGTTAAACTAATGCAAGGGAAATGAATCCGTTTATCAAGCTCTTTTTGAAGTCTTAGTCTTCGACTGTCTTGTTCAAAATATTTTCTTTGCGTGGCTAAACGTATTAACTTTTTTTGTGACTAACTTTATGCTTAATAGACGTTATACTTCGAGAATGTTTTCTTTCTTTTGAGCCCTTCCTGCCACGCTTCCGCCTCCTTTCATAGTCAATAGAATGGATGATGGCTGATTTAAGCCCCCAGAAACGGTAAGTGGGCTTAAGCATCAACCACACGGGAAGGCACGTTCAGTATAATACAAATTGTGCAATAAAAAAAAAAAGCGAAATAACTATGTGCAATAAAATCTTAACAATGTTATACAAGCAGCAAACCGATAACATGAAAGCGCAGACAATGGCCAACTAATTCTATGTCTATGTAACCCTCCAACTCTTTCTGCACACACACACACACACACACACACACACACACACACACACACACACACACACACACACACACACACACACACACACACACACACACACTTTAATTCACCAACCCAGTTGGTCGTGTTTGCCTCTTGACCAAGATAAACTGTTGGACTGCTAACGGATTGCAGGGGGTCTTGGGTGGGGGCGGGGGAGATGGGGGGGAGGAGGGGGGGGGTCAACGTTTGTTCCTTGTTCTGCTATAAACCGAGACTGAGGTCAGTTTCTCAACTCACGTAATTACAAGACCGTGTGTACCTGACGAAAGAGTTAGCAACCCCGGTTATACGATATCTCTTTCAGATCTAATCTTGCTGAATGTCAGCAAGTAGGACTTTTTGCTTTTTGCGCCCGGTTAAAGTCAACAAATTTTCACCTCAATGTGATTAACTAAGAGGTCTAAGAGCTTTGTTATCTTCGTTTTTGTCTTCGGGGTTTAACGTCCGTCATTTAGCTTTTGTTGTTGTTGCTATACATGTCTTTTATCCTCTTTGACGCGCTTTAAATTATTTAAGAAGTCGGCTGCTTCGATTTTTCCAGCCATTTGAAACGGAGGCTTTGTAGGATATGCCTCAGAAGCAAAGCGTAGAGAATCCTGTGAGGGAATTTCACTCGCATCTTTTGTTTGCGAGAACGCAGAGCTGAACAGGAAAATTTGCAGTTACTCCGGTAAACAGCGTGGGCAGCTTAACACATACATGACGTAATTTGTCTACCTTAGGAGAAGAAAATAAATTTATGGCTTCACGGTCAAGTTTAGTCAGCTAGCTTCTGATAGACCCAATTGGAGAGCAGCAATATATGAGGACATCAAATCATAATATTATTATGAGGCTTCACAGATAAATTAGAAATGCTAAAGCCAAGAGAAAATCCCACGAGCTAGGCACTTCAACAAATGTAAATGCAGCTTATAAAAATTCAAAATGTGGCATAGTCTTCTATTACAAAAGTTTGACTAGTCCCATTGGCGATAGCAGAAGCCACACTAATACCATTTCTTTCATTTGGTTTAAGAAATATTTTCCTCTACAGAAACATTGGCCATCGTCAGGCATTGGAGGACGAACTAATTTTAATAGTACTTTTTAAACTCCAACATGAGTTGTTCAGCTGGTATTTCCGGTTAAGGTGTGAGTAACAATGTATTTAATCTTCAGAAAAATTTCCCAAGGCATTGGAGGTGAGAAAAACAACAGGATTTAATAACTTCCGTCCAGGCTACTGAACAAAGATCATAGTCTTACTTTTTAAAACTTTTTTATCCTCTGTTGCAGTTTTCTGTGGAAGGCCAGCTCCACAGCTTCTTCAGTTCTAATATTATGTGTTCTCATGGTTACCTCGACACCCTCGATCCACCTTATTGGTTGGCCTTCCTCTTCCTTTACAGCCTGAGTACTTGGTGTTGTAGGCTCTCGAGGCTGGTTGGCCAGGTGACATACGGAACAGGTGGCCAAACCATTTTATTCTCTGTCTTTCTATATAATGCAAACAGGACCCAATTCCGACAGTTGCTCTTACTTCTTCATTTCTCCGCCTGTCTCGTCTTGTGAAGTTAAGGGTTTGGCATAGTAACTGTCGTAATTGTAGGTGTTTAACACCCCTATCAACCTTGGTTAGGTCACTCTGGAGGCCGTCTGTTTCGGCCCTGCCCGCCAAAGCCAACCAACCCACTGTGAAAGGTATACCACGTCCCAGCAGACAAATCGAGCGCCTAACTGGTTTACTGTAGTACATTGTAAAGGTGTTAAGCTCCCTGGACATACATTATCTATGTTTTACTTTAGAACATAAATGTATGCATCACACGAGCTGGAAAGTCAAATTTTCTCTTCTTCTTTTTCTTGTTCCTGTTATACTACTACTACTACTACAACTACTACTACTACTACTACTACTACTACTACTACTACTACTACTACTACTACGACTACTACTACTACGACTACTACTACTACGACTACTATTACTACTTCTGTTTCAGTTTCCTCCCCCTTCTGTGTTTAAAAAAATGCGTGTGGTAAGCAAAGAAATGGCTCTCATGTGGCACTGCCTTTTTAGTACAAGATTAAAATTTTAACCAGGTACTCGTAGCTAGTTTTATGAGGATACCACACAATACATGACTACTAAGTGAACATTTAGGCAACATAGTTTAGTTTGTCCCCCACGCTCATATGACCTTGTGCAGTTGCGAGCGTCGTAAAACACTTACCAAAATTTTTTTTAAAAATCATTAGAATCTGCTTTTGGTGTACGCTCATACGCGAATCGCTTCATTCTGTGGGCTTTCAGTTAGGTGAATATAGCAGGTTAAGTTAAATTGACATGCTAAATACAGCGAAATCTTTCTCGTCACTCGAGAAAATCAGACCTCTTAATTTTGGTTGTCTTTTAATAATAATAAAAGATAGCTTTTGTATAGCGCAAATACACGTTAACAGCGGGCTCTATGCGCTTCACAATCTATACTATTACCCCCAGCAGACCTGAGAGCATTCTGAAACAACCTCAACTTACTGGGAAGCATACAGTGCAAGCAGCCATTTATAGGCTCTAAAACACTAACATACTTACAAGAACTTTGGCTGTCTATGGCCAGGTACCCATTCCCACCACGGTGAGGTGATGAAAATTCGTGTAAAGTGCCTTTCTCAAGGACACAACGTAGCCCCTCGGCTCGAACCCCTGAACCCGCAACCTCAAGATTATGAGTCCGCTAGCCTAACCACTGGGCCACTGACGCCACAATAGATCCTTAGTTTGTGTCTGAGATGTAGATCTAGGCCTATTTCGTAGAACACAACGTGCGTCCCCGTGTGGTTATGGCCTACTCTATGAGGCTAGCATATAAAATTGAACGTGTTGTAACATTACTGTATGGGGCATTATCCGCACTTCAAAGGTAAAAACAGCCAAAATGCAGATTTGTTGCTCAGACTTGGTTCACTTCAGATTGAATGATAAATAAATAATGGCCTGTCGCCATGAATGGTCTGCGAGGTTGATAAGAGCATTATCTCTCGTGTCATACCCTGTATAAGAACCAGCAGAGAGAGAGAGAGAGAGAGAGAGAGAGAGAGAGAGAGAGAGAGAGAGAGAGAGAGAGAGAGAGAGAGAGAGAGAGAGAGGGATAACTGTTGGATATTAGAGCATGCATCAGATCAAGTTAACGTTGTTTGTGCGTGGAGCGAGCAGGACTAGGTCCTAGGCAGGGGTCTTTAAGATTTTCCAATACAGCGGAGACTTTTACAAGGTTACGATTGTTCTAGAGTGTTGTATCCAAGTAATAACAGTGAACAGTTTTGTTTTATTTTGGATGGTAATCTTTTGATATTCTTATTCTGTTATGCTGTTTTCGTAAAATGTGAGTGTTGGATCTGTGCAGTAAGGATTCTTTAATTTGCTTTCCAAACGAAATTTCCTGCACGGTGAGGTAAAGATATAAGTATGTTAGAAAGTTTTAACATAGCGCTGTTAACTGATGTATTTCTTTTGTCAGATTAATATGAAAAGCGTAATCCAGATCTTCGCTCAAGCCTATTCGGAAATTATTTAGGGAGCACAATAATATAGATTCTAGTTCTAATCTTTATATTTGAAAACTGCAGTAAAGAAAGCGACCCAAGTCGCACAGTTGAAATTGTTTTTGGGGTTCCTCGCCCATTTCTAAGAGATTGACACCATATGCCTAGTAGAAAAAGGGGCATCTGATAGTTTCCAATAGTGTATTACGTATATAATTTTTATGACATGTAAGAGGTACAGATTATATTTAACATACTTCCAATGCAATTTGGTGTTACAAGAGAACAACAAACACAAAAATGAAGGAGGGGAGAGAAGGATGATAGATATTTGATAGGAAAGATTGAGCAAACCACAGCAGAACACTTATTTTCTCTTAACTTGAAATAAAAGTAACTGAAAAATTGGCCACTTTTTGGAGTTGTCTTTAAAAAAAATAATTCTGGTCTGCCTTAAAATTAAACCCTGAGCTTTAGCCTTTTCATAATTCAGTCTGGCCTACTGCTGAATAAAAAGCATAAAAAACAAACAAAGATATAATGAATGACTATTGGACCCTTATCCCTTTCAGTGAGAAAAAAAATAGATAACGAATCCGAAAGAAAACTCTAGATCTGGAACAATTACAAAGACAGAAGTAATGAGATTTTTGCCAAAGCTCGATTATTATTACACAGTGGTCCTTATCTTTCACCCCAGTACAGACTTTACTGAAAGTAACAATGGTGTCTCACCCTGTGTTTTCTCAACAAGATACTTTCTCTTTATTAAAAAAAAAAAAATCCACCCAAACAGCTCAACATCTACAACTTTCATATCTCCACTCATTCACCTTGATTGATTAGTTTTTTTCTTTCAATGTTCGTTCTTCTTTTTCTTCTCCTTCACTATTATCACCACTTTCCCCACCAACTCCCCCTCATTTCCCGACCCCTCACCTATTTTTTTTGCTCGGCCATGAACAAAATATCGGATATCAAGGGAAAGCAGCCTCCAAGAATAGGAACGACAGAGTGTAGAAATATACATGCACAACAAAAGGAGTATTCTAAATTACATGCATAAACCCCCCCCCTCCTCCCCCAGAAAAAAACACAAATTAAATATACATGAATACCAAAAAAAAAAACAAAAAAAAAACCCAAAACAAATTAAAATAACATCAAATAAAGCAATGAAATAAAAATCAAATGACAATAGAATGAAATAAATAATCAAAGAAAATGAAAAAGAAAGAATAGAATACCATTTTAAAAAACATATAACAGTGTCAGCAAGGCTTGAAAGTCAGGTATAAGGAAAGTAAAAAGCTGTGACAGATCATGACAATGTCATCTGCAGACGTCTTTGGTAATACGTATTTTTTCAATTATCATGTTTTCATGTCCAAGATCGAGAACTTTGTAAATTTGTTAGCTTCGGCCTAGATTGGTCACAAAATTGTTATATTTTGGGGGGCTTTTTTTAGGTCGAATTCGTCGAATGCAGTAGCTCTTTAACCCTATCCGTACGCCTTGGGGTCATTTTGTACCCCCGGGGTTGTATTATTCACATTTTAGAGTACTTTTAGTACGAAGATCTCTTTGAAACTTTCAATACTTCTCAAAAAATCATTTTGAAAGACTGCTATGCTAAGCATACGGATCGGATTAATGAGTAAATTCCCTCTTTGGAAAGTGGTGTCACAGAGATACTCATGTCGTATGGATACGATAGTAAAACACGACGTATGGATAGGGTTAACTAGTTTTGTGTTAGCAAACAGTTTTGGAACTTGTGGGTTGTCTTGCTATAGCTTGTTCTTTTTCCCCTGACCGCAGTTAAAACAAGCTAAAAGGAAACCCCTGTTTAATCTTCTCAGTTCTTTGCATACGGGTCTAAACGTTGAATGACCTAGCATCTTCAACGTGAGCAATTTGAAGGCAAGATTACTGTAAGTCATTTTATTCTAATTTTTCTGTGCATGCATCCAAAGAACGGTTTTCAAAGAAGGCACAAGGAAAAAAACTTTTTTTTTAACCATTGGATCAAGATCTTTAAAAAATCCAACTATATTTTTGTTTGGTCGCTGGCCTGCAGAAGTGCCATACAAAGTTTCGAGGGCATAGGTAAATTAATAAATGAGTTAGAATTTGTTTTTAACGCGAACAGACGAAAGTGAACAAGCTTATAACAGGGATTATCCACTGTCTGTGTGTTTTGCTCAGGTTAGTGCTCTTTTGCTGTGCCTATCAGAGACATCGGTTTCTGTTGAAAACGTAAGCCTAAGACAATATCTCTTTTGTTCAAGTTTTGAAAACTAAAAATAATATTATTTGACGCTTGAGTATCTATAAGACTTCGAGCTATCATGTCATATCTCGCCGAAGGGCTTGAATGGTATGTCTAGGTTGTATGTTCAGTGGCGTTACTACAAGGTCGTGTCTGTCTGTCTGTCTGTCTGTCTGTCTGTCTGTCTGTCTGTCTGTCTGTCTGTCTGTCTGTCTGTCTGTCTGTCTGTCTCTCTGTCTGTCTGTTCCTTTCTTTCTTTCTTTCTTTCTCTCTCTCTCTCTCTCTCTCTCTCTCTTTCTCTCTCTCTCTCTCTCCCCCCCTCTCTCTCCCTCTGTGTTGGGGGGGGGGGGGGGGGATGGTTGATGGTGGAGCACAGCAAAATAAATAAAATCGTTGCATTGCAATACTTGACAAAATAATAAAAAGATATTATAAAGCTTTTTAACTCGCTATTTCCTCAAAAGGTAACGCAAACTTTAACAGCTTTTGCTCCATTGCAAGATTCTAACACAATGAAAAAATTATCGATTATTATTATGTAATAGTGGATACCGAGATCCCGGCACAAAGAATGAGATAGTACAATTTTGATAAAATACCTTCCACACGTAGGACAATAACTCGCGTCTTTTGCAAAGAAGGCGGTCACCTATAACTGTTGCACCACACACACCAGTGCAGTGGAGCTGGGTTCTTAGTTCCACATGTCAAATGTACTGATACTTACTGAGTATTTATTTACTTTCCACTTAATTTTTACTGTTTCATCCTCTGTTGCGCTAAGCGTCGAGGGGAGATGCAGTTCTCTGTGGTAGGCCAGCTACGCAGCTCTTTCAATTGGAATATTAGGATTACTTGTCGGGGTTTCCTTGACACATCCAATCCACCTTTTGCGTGGCCTTCCTCTTCCTTTACAGCCTGAGTGCTTGGTGTCATAGGCTCTCGAGGCTGGCTTGCTTGATGGCATACGTAACAGGTGGCTAAAGCATTTTATTCTGTCTTTCTATGAAATGCTGGCAGGATTCTGTGCCAGAGTAGCTGCTCTTACTTGAACTTCATTTCTCTGGGGGTGTTAATGGTTTTGTGGAGACATTTCATTTTTCATGCAGTGATTTTGCTTTCATACGTTTTACTTAATGTCCAGGTTGGCACTGGTAGCATAATGTTGGTATGAATATAGAAGTGATAAGCCGCCTCTTTGCGTCCATGGAGATGTTTGGATGAGATATGAGGGGTGCAGCTGTTAGGTGACAGCGTTGGCCTTTTGAGTTCTCATTTCTATTTCTCTGTTTATGGACCCGTTTTCGGAAAAAGTGTTGCCAAATTATTTAAATTCCTTCATCTGTTTCAGTTGTTTTCTATCGACATGGATGTTCAAGGAACTATGGTTTTGGCTCAGTTTCATAACTTCTGTTTTTGATGTGCTTATTTTCATGTCAAATTTCTCGGAGCATGATTGGTTCGGTTCGGTTCGGTTCAATTTGGTAGTATGATTTTGGAGGCTTTGTTGGTTTGGATCAATAAGACATGGTCTCCTTCGAATATAGGTTCATTGAGGAGTTCTGAGCTTTGGATTGTCTTTATAGATTAAACATAGAAGGGAGAAAAAACGCCTTCATGTCGTACTCCAGATCTTACTTTGAACCAGTCTGTATTGTGTGTAAAGATACACAGAGAAAAGCTTGAATGATTTTTTTCCACAAGTGGAAAAAGCGGTAAAAGTAAACTTTGAGCCTCCATTCCAAACTTGACAAAATGTCAAAATTTGCTCTTACCGACCAAGTGACGTCCTTTACTGTAGCAAAACAGATTCATATATAAGGTACGAGTTCAGAAATAAAATCCGTTAGGGACTTGAAAAAATTATTTCTTGTTTGCTCCAGGTGGGTGTTCGGAAACTCATTTCCCTTTTATGTTAATGTCTCCATGTGTCTTTTTTCTCAGGTCAAACCAGGTAGAACATCAGGAGATAATTAGACAGCTTCTGAGTCAGTATGGATCCGGTGTCCACCATCAACGCTACAAATACCACACTGCAGTCAGCTGCCGAGGCTCTCCAGGAGGAGAAAAGACTGTTACAGGTACTCTGATGTACTTTAAATGTGCACCTCATCCTTAGCTCAGTGAGTATCGTACTGTGCAACGACACTGATGCCAATAGTTGGAAACGATAACAGAACATTTCTGAATGTAATGCGGGGTGCCCACAGCCATGGTTGGTTCGGTTCATTTCGGTTCGGTAGGCGGGGCTAACAGGATTGAGGACGCAAAGCGACCATCGTGACACAAACCGATCGCCAGACTCACTCTCAGCCTTAAAAAAAAAACGCGTCTGTTTTCAGGCCTCGAGTCGGGCGATCGGTTGGCGATCGGTTGGCTATCGGTTGGCTATCGGTTGGCTATCGGTTGGCTATCGGTTGGCGATCGGTTGGCTATCGGTTGGCTATCGGTTGGCTATCGGTTGGCTATCGGTTGGCGATCGGTTGGCTATCGGTTTGCCGATCCCCCAATGGGCACTGGGTATAAGTCAGTTCTTTTGGTAGACTTTAAGACTCTCCGCTCACTATCAAAGATAAACATCAAACCTAAAAGGCATGCCTAGTAAATAACCTTACAGTGCTGAATAAACCGATTCCTTAGGGCCTTTCTCGTGTGAAAGTACAGGGGGATTAAAAAAAAACATCTCCCCCCCCCCAAAGCAACTGTACCACTTGTTTCTCAATATCTCGCACACAATTTGTACAAGAATTTTATAATTGGGAACAAATATAATTTATTCAAAAGAAATTTGTTTGACATAAAATTCATAAGGAATAAATTATTTTCGAAAACAGAAATAAAAAACCACCTATAATTAATGCAAAATGTGCCAATTTAAACAAGCTTGTCAGGAAAGTTAGTAAATGATTGGAGTTTTTTTCTTTCCTTTTATTTTAAAGATCTATCTTTCCATCCCAGTAACCTTTAGACAATATTTCTTTTCTCCTACAGAGTTAAAACATTATTTTCTTTTAAATTCTGGAATTTCGAGAACCAAGGGTCTATATGTCCTCCTTTGGACCCGACACATTTGAAAGTACGTAATATTCAGTGGTGGCCAAACACAAGGATCCTCTCAATGAGTGCTCAAAGCCACACACACTGTACAACTTACAGTACGGAGCTGTTTCGAGAGGAAATAGGGAAGGGGGGGGGGAGGGTGAGGTTTCTCAAATAGATATCATATCATTTGTAGAGTTGATATAACCTGAAAGGTGAATATGGGCTTTTCCAAGGAACCAAATGTCATACAGGAAATGTTCACGCTTTTCAAACAACCGAGGAATCATGAACACATTGCTTTCTTCTGATAGCTTCGGGAACGGGAAAATGGTACAGTCGTAGATGAAAATATGCTTTGAGAATGTGGACCGTTGAGATGAAGGAAAGTCATTGCTGTAGGCATCGTCTACGGACAGATGCCTCATGGGGCTCATCTATTGAATTCTGCACCCTGGTGACGTTTAAAGGGATGCAAATGGTGTGTTTTTGACCTGCAGTGGTCGTTTTGTTTAGGAATAATTAGTTCTGATTCTCTACAGGTCCTGTTAAGATGCTGTAGTTTGCAATATGGCACTATTGTTGGGATTTTTAGTGGTAGGCCTAATGCAAACTGGTGCGTCATGCAGCAAAAATGGGGACATAGCTGAAAATGGCTTTTTACGCGCTATGAAGAGGAAATATTGGGTGGATTTATCTAAAATGAATATCAGACAAATTTCTTTTGCCTTCCAAATATTGTGTACAAATTTGAAATACAAAACGTCAGTGTGGAGGAAAATATTAACAAAAAAATAGCGCAGTTTTTTTTAATCACCCTGTAGATGAACAGTGCTGAATTGTGTGAACTGAAGAAAAATTAACGACAGGCAAACAGATACGATGTTTGTTGGTCGCCGAGAGTGTGATCTACCAGGGCAATGGCTTTTACGTTCAGTTCTAGAAATAAATGTTCAACTATGATTTGAGACGCCTATGATTGAGGGTGTGTGCGATTACATAACTCCCTGTACGTTTTTATTAAGGTCAAGAATGTCACTGTAGGGATTGAAACTTTAAACTGTTGTCCAGTGTGTCATCAAGCGGACTGAAAGTAGTTTCGCTCTGTTTCGTTACTTCCTTCCCAGTTTTTTAATTTAAACAGAAAAAAACCCACAAAAAAGAGGCAAAGTTATGGTTCTGATCTGGGTGTTTTCTTCTTTATTCTTTAAAAAACAACAACAATTATTTCAATTTTTTTTCAAACTTCAAAACATTAAGTGGGTGTCCGTAGGATGACGCTGATGTCATGTGACTCTAACTTTCCTGTCATATTTTCTGTTCTTTCTTAGATAAAGCCACATTGTGTGTGCTTGTGTTTGTGTGTGTGTGTGTGTGTGTGTGTGTGTTTGTGTGTGTGTGTGTGTGTGTGTGTTTGTGTGTGTGTGTTTGTGTGTGTGTTTGTGTGTGTGTGTGCTTGTGTGTGTATTTGAGTGTGTTTGTGTGTGTGTGCATGTGTCAAATCCTATTACATGTGGCTTTGGCATGCCCAGGATAAATAAACTTTGTCAAATACTTTGAGTGATATAGCTTTCAATTCAATTAAAGTAGTGGGAAAGTGTTAGATCTATGTTTTTAATGCAAAGTCTAAAACAAATGTTTATAAAAGTATTATTTCTAGAGACATTTACCTGGAACATGCAAAACCAAAGATCTTAATAGCATTATGAAAAAAATATTTTGTTTAGTTTAGTTGCAATTGTCTGTCTTTCTGTCTGTCTGTCTGTCTGGTATCCACTCCCCATCTCTCTCTCCCCCTTCCCCTGCTCTGGTTGTCTCCCTCTTTATCTCGCTCTCTCTCTGTCTCTATCTCTCTGTCTCTGTCTCTGTCTCTGTCTCTCTGTCTCTCTCTCTCTCTCTCTCT